TCACATCTGCGACTGTGCACTCCTGTGGCACATGTGGAGCAGCACTTTCGGTGCTTTCCAGTGCTCTGCCGCACACACCCCGGTGTAATGCAACTGGCCATCTGACCTAGGCACAGAAGGGCACGAGTCCAAACTAGGGTGCGGTGGGGCCAGGAAAGCACAGCAGTGCAAGAGCATGCAGTGTGCAGAGTACCCTGCTTCTTAGGCCTACCCTTTCTCGCCGAGCATGGCCACATCCGGCTGGCTGCTGTGCAACTACCTCTGGAACGCCTTGTGAGCGAAGAGCGAGGCAATGGGCCGGCCAGTACAACCCTACGGGACAGACCAGTGCAGGAAAAAGGGGGGAGGGACCTAACCACCCCCAAAACCCAGGGAGACCTGAAACCCTGGGTTACCTTACAACACACGGCAAGCAGTCATCATGCAGCCGCGGTTGCTTGACCTGTACAGTCCGGTCAGGAAGGTAAAAGCCCAGGTCCGCAAGCTGCTCTTGCCAAGGCATCTGCAAAGCTTCCCACCGACTAACAGTGTAAGCCGAAACTACAACCCTATCAAACGAGGTCCACTCACAAGTTTGATGCAACATCCGATGTGCTTGAAAGCGAACTGCTTGCAGCTGCAAAGAGTAACGGCAACCTAGCCGTGGCAGACCCTCGTGCGTAGAAACGGCTGTGCCCTCGGGATTCTCAATCCAAATTTCGCCATCCTCATGCAACGAAAGCGAGGTCACAAGGCTCGGCGTCACAGCATTCCCATGATCTTTGTGAGGAGAAAGCTGATAATTGAAAAGCACAGCAACTGTGGTCCAGCGATGGTTGGGGCACAGTCTCGTGATAAAGCAGTTCAGCAGCCGCGTGACGTTCGGGTGCGTAAGCGTCAGCTTACACATCCCTGCAAACGGGCCCGTGGCATAAACCCCAAAGGTTGCGCTGCTGGCTGCCCCAGGAGTCACGTCTTTGTGTCTCGGCGACTCCCGCTGCAGTAAATTTACGACCTGACGTGCAGCATTCCAAAGGGGAACATTACCGGCATCCAAGAAATGCAGCGCCAAGGATTCAGCCTCACTAACAGCAGGCGTTGCAGGCCACCGGGGCAAAGGCAGCGTCGGATGCCGTCGATGGCTAAAGGTACAAGCCAGGGCATCTGCATACTGGCACAAAGCACTGCGCCAAGGCTCATAGATGTTTTCCATAACCCAGAGCAGCAGATCATTTCGGGCCATCATGCCCAAGGCTGTCGGCGGCTCGCGGCCACTGCATGCAAGAAAAGCAAGTCTGACACTGGTGAGCAGCAGATAAGCTTCCAAGTAATCTGCATACACATCATCCGGCGCTGCCAGCACTTCTACCACTCCGGGCTGTGCCATTCCACCAGCATAAGCCGGTCCGAGCAGGAAAAACGAATGCTGCATGCGCACAGATGTTGACACGTCCCTGGCAAACTGGCGAAACTGAAAAAGCTGAGGGCGACACACACAGGTTCGGAAGGAGAGGGATACGGCTAATGCAAATGCTTTGTGTCGAGAGCAAAGCTGTGGCGTGAGCTCCCGTAACTGGCCAAATGCAGAAAAACCCCCGAAAGAGCATGGAATAGAACTAGTGGAAATTGAACAATGCAGTTATGAGCTGTCTTCAACAGCAGCGGGCAACTTTGCTCTGCGCCGGAACACTTCGGAGTGGCGCCGAAAGACGGTGATTGCTCTAGGAGCTGCAAGGAAACGCCCTTGAACGTGCAGCTCCATGGGAACAAATGCTATGATCTCAGCAGACCAACCAGGTAGGAATTTCTAGATATCAAACCCAGGTCCCTTCGATTGGCAGGTCTAGGGGGCCTACGATCATCACAGATGTGATAGGTCCACGTGGGGGGGGATCAGTATGGGTATCAGGGACACTAAGGACAGCTTGGTAGTGTCCACTCTGAACAGTCGCTCCTACATGAAAAATCAGGAATCCTACCCGGTAGTCCACAGATTGGACTTCAGTGCCCATCCCAGGGTCACAGAAGTGAGGCAGGCTCACGCGAAGACCTGGCGGGATGTGTATGGGCTCTTGATTCTTTGCCCTGTCGGCACGATATCTACAAAGCTGAAGGCAGGCAACTTGACAGGCTCCGGACACAGCATGAACAGCATGTTGATTACACCAGTTATTTATCATGGTTTGAAGTCCTGCCGTATGTGGTGTCAGCAAAATAGGTGCTTGGCGACTGATCAACCACACTGTGCGGATTGGTCAAGCGAGCCTGCCACGAGCCTGCAAGAGCATCTAATTGCAGGGTCACGGCCAAATGCTGCCAAAACTCACCTGCATCGTGCTGAGAAGTCAAGTCAGGCCACGTGCGGAAAAGCTCATGAAAGGCAAGGCAATCCGTGAGCAAAACCTGATGTTTACGACGCAGGACCGAAAGTCCCGCCTGTGCTGATGATGCAAGCTGCAACACCGGGCCAGCAAGTTCCCGTAACCAAAATAAAGCCTGCATGCAAGAGTTGGCATAGCAGAGGTTCATACCGGCTGGGTTGCAAAGCTTAGCAAGAGGAAGTTCCGCGCCTGGAGTAGGCACGGGCCGTGCTG